CTTCTGTCGATCCTGGTGCTAGTGCCAGCAAAGAAGAGAGCCAGCTTGATGGCGGGATGTTCGACGGCTCGGAGGGGAAGGAGGTGATGGCGGTGGAGAGTCTATGCCGTAACAAGGGTGGCACGATTTCAAGAATGCGGAGCACGTTCTCAACCAATGCCGGCAGCCAGGCAGTAAAACAAATACGCCCTCGCTATATACGGGGTGTCCCGACAATACCGCGTACGTCTGCACGACGTACACGTTGCATCGACGAAAATCCCATGCCGTAGAAGGAGGTCCTCGTTACTGATACGAATAGAGGTAATGCAGCGTGTACGCAGTGAAACCTTTTCATGACCTCCTCCGGGACACGCGTCTTCACAAACGAAAAACAAATTAACTCGAGAGAGGAAGACGATGCAGGCATGAAAGAGTATTTCTACGAATTCTTGCGAAGTTCTCTTTCTCTTTGACTTCCGCCTTTCTGGAATAGTATTCGTATTCGTTTTAACTTTGTTTTTTCTAGCAGATCACTAATGTGTTCCTTCATTGATAGATAAATTAACCCATTCACTGCCAGGCAAATTTTATTAGTTGCATACACATAGTATTAAAATGGTATTTACAGTAATTTAAAAATGAGAAAGAACTACGAGATAACTCGTAGCTAGTGTCACTGAATAAAATTCCTGTCCCGACTCAGCAAACTACGAGATATCTCGTAGTCGGCAGTCTTGGTACATACGCTTACTACGAGGTATCTCGTAGTTGGCATTGAATGGGTTAAAGCATTTTAAATGTGTTGTGATTTGATTCACGTAGATATTAAGTTGTATGGATACTGTCTTCCTGTTTAGGGTAGTAAATTTCAAATTTGGGACACTAGTGATCTTTTTGTTGATTGGTTGCTTAATAAATTAATATTGGAAATCTGATTAATCTAATAATTACGCGATTTAAACGGATTAGCTTAAAGATGAATTGTGTGGTATATAACTTCGATTGATTAAATTGTCGAGATATAAATTTGCTTTGGTTAACAAAATTTCTTGTTTGGATATATAAAGTGATTTCTTGCTTCATTGTCACGTTACTCTAAAATGGTTCTATAAAGAATCTATGAGGAAAGAGGACGCAAAATGCTTGAAATAAAAGATGCCTGATCAACATAGATCGTATTATTCATCGATGATGAGCAGATTTTGACAATGTTTCATGTCCTAAAAACATGTATCAAAATGAAAGTGTATGGCCATCTAAAGTTTTGTATGACCGTGACTAAACGCGCAATACAAATATTTGTAATTTTGACCCGAATTATTTTGCATTATATTGCGCCGTTGAATACTATTATTTTACGTTGCATTATATTTTATATTTTACAATTTTGATACTGAAGCCATTTTTACAACCCCTGTCCTTTTACCCTTCGGAAGATAATATAATAAAAATTCCTACAACATAAATTAACAAACCTTTTAACTTTTTAATTTTTTCCATAGCATACATATATCTTTTCGTTTAGAAAAATCAGAAGGATCATAATCGGCATCAAGTCGCGTATCGACGTTACCGGTGCGATTACGTATCGATGTGAGTACCTCTGGCTTGGAATCCGGAATAAAGCAGTCAATTACGAGTGTAGGCTCCCTTTTCAAGTATTCACCACGAGGAGCACACGAAATCCCCGGTAGAAACTGAACGCGAAACGGCCGATAAAAGCGCACAATGACTGGTACGAGCACAGAAACGCAAATGTCCTCTTTCAGCGACGGAGACGTCCTCTTTGGAGGGCAACGAATGATGGACAGGTGAAAGAAGTGGCCAATGTGGGTTGGTTTCGGCGTCTCATGTGACACACACGTCACCGGCCTTTGTTTTTTTTCACTTTTGATCGAGTGCTCCGGCTCTTTTGTTCGCACGCTTCTCGAACCCTCGTTTCTTCTCTTTTTTTTCAAGCCAGTTTAATACCGGCGAGAATTTTCTTTGGAACAACCCGAGGAAATTGAGCCAGACAACCTAGAGAATCCAAGAAAACGAGTTCTACGACGATAATGGGAAGTATGTGTTAAAGGATGGCCAATATAGAACCTCTGTACGTTAAAACGTTACCCGCTGCTGATAAAAATCAATTATTGCCTCAATTCGCCAATTAACCAAATAATTTTTCTATTGTGTGTATCTTCTGATTAAATTATTATATCGAATCTATTTTATTTTTGTAATTGTTAGGTTTGTAATTGTTCAGATTCTGTGAATCTCTGAAATACTAAATTTTCATTAAATCGAAGAATATTTTTGCATCTTAACCATGTTTTCGAGATATGAGACTACTGTGTAAAGACTTTAAATCCTTATGTACATGAGCAAGGTATTTTAAAATTATTTGTATTAATTTTAGAATAAAAATTTCCAAATGCTTTCAAAAAAATAATACGAAATTATTAAATGAAATACAGGAATAAATATAGAAATTGTAACGATCAAAATCAGAAAAAATTGATTAAAGAATCATCGTCGTGTCTTCGTCAATTCGTCTATGCTAATTAAATCTTACGCAACGAAACTTCTAATATAATTCAATTAAAAATCAAAGCAACCTGCTCCTACTCGCGAAACATGAACCTGCAATCCACTCTTCTGTATCTCTTCTGATCTCTGATCTTTGTTCGCGGTCAAATAACATGTAAACGACTTGCTCCCGTTTTTTGAAAGGGTCTGCGAACGATGGACCAGTTTTCCACCTGATCTGGATCACGATCCATTTTTATTCGTCAATAGCGTCTCATCCCTTCCAGCGGAACCTGTTTGCTCGCGTGGCGAGAGGTCCTGTCCTCTCCAACAATCTCGCGGATCCTGTTGGGAAACTGGTCCATCAGGAAGGCGATGCTGCCGCCTCTCCGTAACAATGGCCACTGTCCACTGTCTATTGTTGACGAAGGTAAACCGCAAAATGAACCCAGTTAGCCTTTGACTCTTATTCTGAAATCGTTTCGGTCAATTTCCGCTGACAGAAAACTGGTCCACTAGAAGGGGGATGCTGATGCATCCCTTTGTATTTAATGGTCAGTATCTAGTTAAGAGCAATAGACTCGAACTATAAAACGTAGAGCCGGTTAGCCTTTGCCTCTCTTGTTGGGATAGGATCATCGAAAGCACTCCCCTTTTTTGGGGTTAAGAATAGTGTCCCGTTTGTGGATAAACAATTGAGGAGATATGTGGGAAAGGTGCCCATAAGAGAAGATGATAAATTGAGTAAATTAATCAGCTAAATTTGAATTATTAATTATAATTTCTGTTACGTCGCGTGATTGAAACCGTGCGACGTCCCTCGGTATTGGGTCGTTAAGGGTCCGCTGACCGTTATGTACACCCTCAACAAACCTAAGGCCCTATCATAAATTAAATCTTATTAGCTTGCAGAAACCAGTAATCCTGAAAATATTTTCGGTTTATAGGTGGTACTTAAAAGGTCCTTAGATTTATTGTGCGCTCTTAGAAATTACGGAACAGCTGGTAATTATATAATGGGAAACCCGGATATTTACTTAATGGAAATGTCTGGATTTTTCCATGAACAATGTCACGTGGGTAGGATGCTTACTCCTCCTATCTTCATTCATCAATCAATGGGAATCACCTTTTATAATGAAAAGTGTGAACAACGAATCAGCCCCCTTCGTTCAATAATTACATACATACCGACCTTTCCTCCAGAAGTATATAAGAGCGGACAGTTCGAATATTCAAACAGTTACAGTACCAGTGAGATCCAATCCAGTTTCGAGTTCTCAGTTCAATTACAAGACCGTTCGAATAGAGTTCAGTACGAATAGAGTACGAGTTCCAGTTCAGCTCGAATACGCTCAACCCTCAAGACTTCTTCGAAGACCACCTAACTACCCGTACTCAATCTCGGTCTTCAGATCAGTCAACATATCTACCCGGATTCTCTCATATCAGAGCAATCCATTTCTTCGTCACCTATATCTTAAGCAGCGGAGTTACTAACTTGTGTTATTGTACAAAGTTGTTGGAAATACATATTTTATAACACTGTTAATCGCAGCGATATACCACAACAACCACCCCTATTATCTTAACGGAAATCAGGGGATCGATCGATTCGCGGTGTCGATTCTTAGAATCGTAACGGGAATTTACGACCGCCGTTGACGCGCTTCCTCCCGATCGCGTCTCCCCACGATCGATCGAAATTGCAATTTCTCTTAGAGAAGTTTATTATCTATCTGTACGTATGTTTACCTACGCGCCATTTTTCAAAAAGTTTCGAAATTATTAAGGGAAATAATTAATATGTATAAACGTAAGTATTGTATAATGATATGTTAAATGAATTATTTCTTATCAGAAATTGGATATTGGAATTGAAGTATTCTTGCAATATAGTACTGCTTCGAATTTTGGTTTGTGTTTAGAGAATATTTCTTTATGTGAATACAGAAAATTATATCATGTCAGGAATTCGTGAAATGACATACACATAGATCGTAGATGTAAAAATGTTTCGGTGTATGTATTTGAAAGTTTTCCCGCCAAAGAAATTTTACCTTCCGATTCTTCAATCCTTTAATCTGCCCCCTAGTATATTCCATAACAAACTGTAGGAAAGAGCTTCGAAACTGTGTAGAACTCTACTCTGACAACACAAGATAAATGGTTCAAACCGGTCAGATCACGCTTGACAGAATAGCCCTGACTTTAAATGGGGCTAGCAACGAGGTGCTTTCTCTTTCGATACTTGGTCTGAAATTCAGACATTTCAGAATAGCATCTGTTGTAGATAATACAGATTCCATTCGTGGGATGTATGATAAAGAATAAAAGACACGAAATTTAACAAAAATTCAAGAACATATTTAAGGATGAGGGTAATTAGTAATTGGTGAAAAAAAGAAATTAATTTACATAAAGCAAAATCACGTTAAGATTCTGCGAAAAATCCAATAAAACGTTTGTTGTTTCGCTTGTCTCCAAGCAACACTACGCCGCATATCAGGTGCATACGAAGTGTTGCGACGTACCAAAAGTGTTATGGATTACTAATGCGAAAGTGAAAAAAGTAACACGTTTCCTGTTTCGTTTTGAGATGTACGCAACCAATCCACGACCAGTGTGCAATAATAATTTATCTGAACAACAACAAGTTAAACTACAGAAGATCAAAGAGCTGACGAGAATTCTAAAGGTCGACTGACGCAAAAATTTGAAGATTATTTTACAATTGTATAACACGCACTTCTTGTTCCGCAGGATACAGACAAAAATCTGACTGTTTGCGAAGAAATATTGGCAACTTATATAAGGAAACGACTAAGGGTATGTGCAAAATCATTTCACCCTTCCTTTAATATGAATCATTTATTCTTTTTCACTGATGAACATTTTGGTATTTGTACAAATATATACGATACATAACTTTGAGAATAAAATTGAATAAATGTTGAATGAACTTACGTTTTACATATGTGATGAATATCGAAAGTTGTAAGTGTTTTATCTCAGTCTTAGGTTTGTAATACTTAATATAGATATAATTAAAATTCAAGTGTAGCCTGTTGTTTATTCAGTGCAAAAAGTTAGATGTGAGATAGTAAGAAAACCTGTGAATAATATTTATAAAATTATAGAAATCCCCTGGACGATTTTCTATCCTTTTTATTTTTTCTTAGTTTACTATCCCTTGTACCAGCCACCGTGGCTGCGATATCCATAACCGTATCCACTATATCCTCCATATCCATGTCCACCGTATCCACTGTACCCACCATATCCATGTCCACCGTATCCACTGTACCCACCATATCCACCATATCCACTATATCCGTGACTATAATATAGAGGCCAACTTGGATACCATCCAAAACCATACCTAAAATTGTATTTTGTGAACATCTGCACATACGAATGCCTTACTACCCTCAGAATCAAACTGTTTCAAATATTCTTGTATAACAATCGAATGAAAAATTCTCATACACTCTAAATATTATATATAGATTGTACATTAGATTAATTCAATAAATAATTGTGCAACTCTTTTTTCAAAATCAGTCTGTACCAGTCATCGATGTTTCCTGGTAAATATTTCTTTAAATTCGATTCATACACTAAAATCTGTACAATTTTCTGAAAATAAAATAGGAGGAAGCAATTAAATAACTTCATAGCCTATGACTAAGAACCAAATTAAAACATAAAACTCCATAATAGCACAGGAAATTTGTTAAGGCAACGCAAAATATTCGACTTCCTCTTACAAAATCCGCAAGAATATCTGAAGTAAGCGGCTATTTTTTCCGCAAAACCTTCCTAGATTCGTCACAATTTCTTACGACAATCTACATACCAGGGCCAGTAACTATATCCTATGTAACTCCACGGATTCCAACCGTAACTTCTTTTTGCCACTTTTTTATCCTCAGTTGCATCCTGAGAATTCGGCTCGGCCTGATTGTCAGCAATTATTTTTCCTGACACGTCGCTATCGCCCTTTACTTTTTCAAGCTTGTTGTTTGGGAGCACAGTGGCTGTTCCCAAGGTGAAAATGGTCAAGAATACCAATAACTAAAACGATGATCAAGATTCGTTTGTACGAATGGACTAATATTATTAGTCAAATTTTACAAGTCACAAATCATAGGTTGTTAATAGACTAGGAATTTGTTGTGTTTATGAAAAATTTAAAAAGACGTAGGTATTCGTTATAATAATCAATAGATGAAACAAATTTCTGCTGAAGTTCCATCTTTTTAGTTGTATTCGTAAAAACACGAACTTGCTTAAGTCTTTATAGTCTGGTAGTATTATTGATTTCTTGTGCATAACAGTAACAAGTTTGATAATAAACTAAATGAACTTTTATGAGTGAGCCGTATTAATTTTAAGTCGTCTGATTATTTTGTTGAACTTAAAATTCTAAAATTGTACGAGAGAAAATTAATAACTTATAATTTGTAACTTGTACCGATTCACTGATATCGTTAGATGGTAAATTACTGTGCGAAAGAGTTCTATTATCACTAAAACACTAATTTCTTACTGGAATTAATCAAGGAACATTGTTTGCTAATTCAATAGACTAAATTCGTGAATATTGGAAACTTTGTCGATTATTCTTACCAGAAGATTCATGTTAAACTTGATTCACAATACGACTGTGTGATCCAAAGAGTGGGCTGTTCTTTTATACCTGATACAGTTCAGAAATTATTTGCCGTGTTATATATACCTACTGAATTCTCGATCCACAACTATTTTCTAATGCCTAAATTAGTCTCTGTTACATTTTCCATCTATGGATAATCGCATCTCATAACTAGTTACATACATTGATCATGAATTCATCTGGATCGAACGAAAGCACAAACTCTTTAATGGAAAAGCGAGCATGTAATCAAAATCTGGTTTTATTGTTTTGGTCATTGATTAACTGAATTTGATCTAGTATTTTATGGCAAGTATACGTTTCCTTGAAGCAAGTTTTTATATACAGGGTGTGCGATTTTTATCTATTATTGGAAATATTTAGAAAGAAGGGTGGTTAACTGCGATGAAATCGGCTTATGAAATTAGACGTCTGTCGTTAAAAGGTTTCTCTAACTAATTTTGGAAGTTGTTAAAATATTTAAGGAATATTTCGTTTCGAACTTGTTGAAGATGAATTCTCTTTTCATAATTTTTTAAAGAGCAGACGTTTAATACTTTTGTTGGAATAATTTCGCTTACTATATGATAATTCGAAAATTGATCGCAGAGCAGAAAATATGTCGAATGTCAGCAAAAATATTTTCGATTTCTCCTAGAATATCTCTCAAAATATAATTCATTAGAATCACCAATTAACTAATTTCTTTAATCCATTCGATGAACTCCAGTTTTAACAATCAATGTCTTCCCATCATAGACATTATCAATGGATCAAATTAAAAATCATAATCAATTAGTACCCAACACTACTCTCCTATTCCATAGCATATCTTACTTCCGCCGTCTGTATTCAACTACCATAATCACAATCTCTGTTCTTTAAAATAGCACGTATCTCTTTTTCGAAGCTAAAAGTAGCAGCTCGATCTAACATATAATAATCAAGCGCAACCACATCTAAACAGTCACCACATGAATATAGCGTGTGTGCTGACAATTTCACGGCAATTTCGCCGATTGTAAAACACCATACGCAACGCGTCCGAGTAATCCGACCACCCATAATGTTTGCAATCCGGCATTGTTCGAGAAAAAAAAAATCGAGTTAATGAGGTGAACGAAGCTGGGAACGTTCTCAAAAGATGCGTGTAATTTCGCGGAGTTTCGCGTGTCGTGCAATTAGCCAGACAAGGTAATTAAGTAATTAGCTAGACACAGTGTTCGATCGAAGCGTACTCGAAGCGAGTCGACTACCATTCGAGGAGTCCACCGACAGGAACTCGCGTTTATTATATAAAAACCTGAACCTTCTCCCTATTCCTTGTCGCGTTGAAAACTTGTGTCGTTAATATTTTTCTCCTCTTGTCGTAATTGTCCCCTTAAGGAGGTTTTGTCACACCAGTCCAGGAAATCGAACCAGCGACACCGTTTGCCGCTGGACTTTCTCTGGGTGGAGAACAGGTGACATAATCGACATACTTATGAAAGTACAGCTGGTAAATATCTAAACTCGGCTCATTGTCCGGTGACATAATCGATATCGTTGGTAATATGATCATTGCCCTAACTGATCGTGTGTAATGTGTAAAGGTTCGTTTACTTCTTACGTATTCAAATAACTCGGATTACTCTGAGACGGACATTATCGCATGTAGGTAAATACGATTGTTTAAATAAAAAGGAAGCGTTGCAACTGCGAAAATATATCAAGGAGGTGTTGAAACACAAAATGCATTTGTAGCATAAAAGTACTTTTTGCATTTATGGAAAAGATCCGGAGGTATAGAAAATACGCATAGAAGTAAAAATGTTAAAAATATCAGAAATAAGTAAAATAAATTTTTATTTATCTATTTTATCTGTCTATTCATATAATGTAACATAAAAGTAATACGCCATTTCATTTTAAGAAAATAATGGTAAGAAAATTTATCATTCAAGAATGGCTTCAAGATCGATTGCATTCAAACTAATTAGCCTTCGTTAAATTTACTTCAATCTATTTCAATGCTTGTAACCTTTACTCGTACATGTCATAGAATTGTGCGTTAAATGATTGTACTCGTTATACGCACGTACTAATTGTAAGATTCGACTTGTCAGACTTCTATTTCTGTTCATGTTAGTAATTAGATGTATAATTATCGTAGATGAGACTAGCATATTTTCCCGCTAGTGACCGTAAATTATTACGATCAAAAGTGGTATAGTAATCTATTTCATCGTTCAATTTCTCAACCATCAATTAATTTAACCGATTGCTTTTTGAAAAGATCAGTCTCGTACGTAGAAACAGTTTTATTTTCACTTGTTCTGCAGTATCGCTCGATTAACTTGATCTCTATCGATATCCTTAATGAATTGACTTCCCACGTTGTGCAACAATAGCACAATTTTGTGGTAGTATAATCGTCAAGGCAGAAAGTTTCAAAAGAAATTGACTTTTATCGTTTTAATCGTTCAACCAAAATATTTAGATAATCGTTCAACGGTTTTGTACAACTAGGTAGAAATTCTTTAAAAAATGCCTCGTATAGAGCCGCACTGAAATTAGTTACGGTAGAAATTCTTCCAGAAGTATTTGAATAATAATGTATATTCCTCTCGTTCGAAAATATAAAGCGCAATATACCGAATGTGTTTATACAATCTAATGAGTTCCAGTTTCCTGAATAATTTAGCAAAATTGTGGCAAAATTGTAACATTAATAGATATCGACATAGATATAACTATAAAATTGTATCCTTCTTTCAAAATTCCAAATTTCGCATTTCTTCCTATGATATTTTCCAAAAATTTCTATTAGCAACAGAAATATTCTAAATTTTCTAATAACTCTGCAACATAATTTTCCAAAAAAATTCAAAACATCATACAATTACGTTCGATTAATGTAACAATGAAACACGTTTATTATTAACATCCTATTATTAACAGATTCTTCAATACAATCCATTAATAAACTTATAAATCCCTTCTTCTAGTAACTAAATACGAGTAGAACAAATTTTTTTCAAATTGAATTCAATTACGATTAAAAGTCGTATTTTTGTTTATTAAAAAACCTCTGCTCTGAATCGTTGGCTTGTGTAATTAGATTCCATGGCTACACGTGGAATTAAAAACAGCGCGTGACCACATCGAACGTATTGTACGCGTCTTAGCGAACTGTTGTCGTTCGATTTTTTGCAATATCGCGACGTTCTTTTCCCGCGTTATAACGTGCCGCTTCAGTTGTCGCAAATCAACAAGCGGCTCTGTGCAATTGAGGTGAAACTCGACATTTCTTTCCGATGTTATGCAAAAATCCATCCCCGCCAGCTAAAGTTTCGTTTAACGACGCTCGAGCGCGACACTGATCGCACAGTCCTCGTGGAATCTCGAGGCACAAAAGTACTCTTCGTGCCACTTTGTAAAACTTTCTCACACGATGAAACATATCTCTCTATTCTTTACATTTTTCATCAAAATTTGACCGTGAATTGCTTCGATATTTGATCGTGAATCTCTTCAATATTCAATCAAAAATAAGTTGAATCGAAAAAATTGATATTTTCTCGCAAATTAATCTAATATTTAACACAAAATTGTGTCGATAGTTTAAAAAAATTGAAAGAACAGTTCGTTGTTAGAAGTATTGCATGAAGGTTATATCATGTGGCAATCAACGATGCAAAGAAGACGCCACTGAAGATAACACGATGGTCGCTATCTCGTCATCACTCGGTGCATAAAGTGAAATTTCCGAGCAGAAAGTGTTCAAGCCTACTATAATGAAGCTTAGGAAATTCTACCTCCTATGTTACGTGTGCGTACTGTACACTTTCGTTCAGTCTAAGAAAACAAATTGGGAAAACCAGTCCACACCAAACCCCTCCTCAGGCTCGCAGGAACCAACAGAATTTTTAAATGTAAATAATCCGCGAGACAAACGGGCATTAGGCCTGATTCTCTCAGGCTTGGCGCAGGTTTTTGGCTACACGGTAAGCCCTGTGCAAATAGCCTCGTTGCCCAATCCTAATTCCGAGTCAGACGAGGCAAGAGCTACTAACAACACTCAAATAAACTCTACTCAATCGACTACATTAGCTCCAAGACAGCGAGAAACGATCAAATTCACGGGTGTGGTGAATTTTAGTAATGGAACAGGTATATTAACTCAGTTGCAACAATATGAGAATATTTTCCATGGTAATTCATCTTCTACAACCTCCAAACCGCCTTCAACATCATCAACGATGCCACCACAGATTGATCCAAGGAAACAGACTCCCAATCAACCACTACCACCTCCTCTCTTGGTAAAGATCCCTCTTCCAGTTATATCGGAGCCTTCCATACCGACAGTACCTCAACCACCTCTTCCTGAGATTCCTTCTCAATTCATTAATCTATCCTACCCTGAACCGTACATCAGTTCAATTCGCAATGAACAAGGAATGGTGTACAGAAAGAACGTGAGCACTGAAAAAGTGACAATAGAAAATCAGCCAATTTATAATGCAAAGGATATTCAATCGCCACCTCCTCCAATGTTAGTTCAACCGCCAATGATACATGATCCTTCACCTACATCTCCTTCTTATAACGAAGATCCAAGATGGAAACAAGAGTATGAAGAAAGACTTGCAGAATTGGAGCGTAAACAGGAAGAGCATGCGAAGAGATTGAGGGAACAAGAATGGTACAGAAATCGTCAGAAGGATGATAATTATAGTGGTGAGGAAGATGGTGATTCAAGGAAGCAAATAGATCACGGAGATCAAGATTCTGGATGTAGAGGAAACCAAGAGGAAAGCGATAAAGGAAAACCGTTGAGAGAAGAAGAAGATCAGTCGAGAGAGAGATATGAGAGTGAAGAAAGGATTCGTGAATATCCTACGAATCAAAAACAACCTGCAGAAAGTGAAGAAGAAGAGTATTATAGGAACGATGATGTTTATAAAGAAGACACGCCTCAAACTAGTGAAAATTATACTAGTATACAGTATAGTGAACCACTACCTTTGAGTGAAGATGATGAGGAACGACGACCTGAAGATCTTCGTAACAGTTATGGGGAACCTCTGTACAATCGTGAACTGATTGATGATGGATTTGTGAACTTTTTTGGAAGACTCAAACAGCCATTGAGCAATATTTATAGCTCGTCTGTGCCTGCTGAATCGGAGGAAGAGGTTTCGAAAGAGGAGGAAGATTCGCGTGGTAATCAGAAAGATGAAAATGAAAGTGATGAAAGGAGCAGAGAAGAAGATGTTCCAGCAAGAAACAAGTATGAAGAATATACTCTAGAGGAAGATACAGATAACAGGAAGAAAGATGAAAAAGGATCTAACGAAGATAATTCTGAGTTACCAATGAAAATTTCCAATAATCAATCGAATGGCGAAAATCGATCTTTTTCCGCCGAAGAACGGGATGTAGCAGATGAATTGGATTTCAGTAAATTTATGCCATTAATTGTTCCTGTTCGGTACCTGAATGCCCCTGAAGAATTAAGAAAGACAAAATTGAAGTCATCAACAAATGAAAAATCAGAGAAAGATAATACTTTAAGAGCAGAAGCCTCAAAAAAAGTCTCGTCCAAAGAGCCAAAGCGATCAAAAAAGGAAAATTTGAAACCGATAATAGGTGTTGCAGAAAGAAAAACAGCGAAAAATCTCCACGAGGGTGAACAAAAGGAAGTGCAAATGTGGCCACCGCCATTCGACTTTATTTTCGATAGTACAATACATACTAACATTGTTCCAAGAAATTCGAACGATAATGACAATATTAAGGTATCGAATAGTCAAGAAAATCGTAGAAAATTTGAATCTTCTAATAAAACGAGGAAAGAAAGACATCGAGAAGAGAAAAGTCAAGTAAAACTTGATAATTCAAATGAAAGACCGTATGACTATTCTGAAAATATTTATGACCAAGGTTTTAAAAAGGAACTCGAATTTAGAACAGTTCCTGGAAAACGACTGATGATGAATAGGCCTATAAATACTGTGAGTTCAAATAGAACACATTTTGAGACGAAAACCGTGAAATCTAATCAAAATGATAATGATAGAAAAGAAATACCAGATTTTTTAAAGCGTTATAAGTATATTTCAAATAATAATTATAGATTCACAGAACGACCAAATATCGAAATAAAAAATTTTCCAGAGCTGCAGGACCCGAGTTCATTGAATTCTAAGAAATTTGAATCCTCGAAACGCAGTATTGAAAGAAATCAACCATCTTCAAAAAATAAAAAGCAGACAAATGTTAAAAATCGTATAATGCAAGATACTCCAGTTTCTCGACAGATGTTTGAATCAACGATGTTTCTCAAACCTGGAGAAAATTATAATTTGTTCAATTTTGGTGAACGTGTTTATGATTTCAATTATGGCAGGGGAAACGACAGATTGTCCGGAGTTTTTGACGGGAATAAAAAAATTGGAAACGTAGAAATAATTGGCTTGACCACGCCGCAACAGGACGTGTATCGCTATGACGAAAGTTTAACGAAATTCACCAGTGAACCGGAAAACAGAAGCGAGAAAGTCGGAGATTACGCGAATGGTGCTACCACTATAAAAATAGTAGCACAAGAACGCATCAATCCGAATGAACCAATTAGTTATGTCGATTATTCTCATATTTTATAACTTGTTATTACTTTCAAGCTAATTGTGCAATATGATCTATTTTCAATACTTCGTTTTTTAGTAATTTAACACGTCGAATTTAGAAATATTTTAAATATAGTAATTAAAGGAATTTAAAAGAATTTTTAAAATATTTATCAGTGTTTTGTTATATGATTCATTTGAAATACTTTTTCACTAATTTCAACATTTGTTACATTATAATATAGTGAAATCAATCATATTTCATGCTTTGTGCTAAATAATTGGAAAATATAATAGGGAAATTGTAAAATGATCCTTTTATCACGTATATATAGTAATTATAATTTAATATATTTACTAAAAATTAACCTACAAATACACATATGTATTTTGTGTATCACACATAATATATAATACTCAAAATAATTTGCCTAACTGAAAATCTCAAGTGTATATTTAAAATTATTTAGAACCCGAAAAAAACATTGATTTTTTAAACTACTCGCATATATATATATACGAGTTAAAATTTATATATATATATATATACACAAATAATTAATACGTCAAAAGATATTATATGATTTGTTATAGAAATTGCTATAGAAAATGTTAAATACTCAGTTTCGAAATAAAGTGTTGTAAGATGAAAAAAAATATTAATTTTTTGGTAATTTGAAAACAATATTATTTCCTTAACCTCTTTTCTATCGTCTTTGTATAACATAATAATTGAGATGAACGTATGGCAATTACAGAAATATTCTATAATATCGCATGTATGTTACAGGACAAGCGACAAGAAATGCAAAGACGCAGTGAATTGGAACACAAAATGACGGAAATTCTCGAAAATTTGAAAACCCGGCTGCTGGTCGAGTAATTCCTATCAAGATGTATACTTATATGTTTTCTGATTTAATTTTGTAATAACTAATGAGTTCACTGCATGAATATATTATTGAGATTAAGTACCTAAATTATTAATACTGAATTACCGAGTTAGCAACGTGCTATAAGAAATACATAATACGTACAAAGATAAATCACTTACCAACTTTTTGTCCTCCTGTGTTGTAATTCATATCTAGAATGACTAGAACTTATTCACTTAGTTCACTTATCACATAATTGAAACTATATCACTAATTTATTCGATTTTATTTAAGGAAATTGTAATTTTAATTTACGACGTGCAGGGGACGACATTTGATACAATGAAACTGAAATTTTGCTTTCGATAATCGAAATATGTAGAATTATCGAACGGAATTATCGAACTGAATTATCGAGATGAATCACCAAGTTCCATTCAAATATTGCGCCATTAGAGTGCAATGCTGTCGTTGTGTTGTTACTACGTTAAAACTGTTTGGTGGTTTAAAGAATAAATTATTGAACAAAAATACAACGTATAACATTAAATAATTAAATATTGCAGATTGTAATATCTTTTTTAAAATTTGACAATTAGAATATTACAAGGATGGAGAAATTCTTACAAAATATAGGCGTAGGGTTAAGATCTATTGATGATCCATTTTTCGAAGATTCATACAGAATTTGCAAAATTTTTCAACGAAAAGGTGTTACTGTTGAGGATGATGAAGAACTATGTCATGATATGTAAATAAAGATTTCTTTTATATAAACATTTATCATTGTGCATAACCTACAAATAACTGATTTTAATAAAATAATTTATTAATTTCAGTATAAAAGAATTCTCTTGTTACATTACTGGTTGTAAAGCAACATTCAATAAATTAATTGATTTTGAGATGCACTACAATAGCAATCATCGATATGTTTGTGCAGAATGCAACAAATGTCTACCAAATCCTAGATTCTTAGATATTCATATTCAAGAAACCCATGATAGCTTCTTCCAAGTTTTATCAACGAAACAGCCAATGGTATTTATAATCATTTTATTTCAATATACTGTATATCATACTGTTTGTTAATATTAATAATATCTTTTAGTATCAATGTTATGTTTCTGAGTGTGATTTAAAATTTAATACTTCATTTGAAAGAAGAGATCATTGTGTTAGCGTACACAAATATCCAAAGAATTTTAGATTTGATAATACTCCACATTGCGTAAGAGATAAATCAGAAGATAAAATGGATATTGATGAACCAGAGCCAAAGCGGAAGGAATCCAAGTCAAGAAAAATACAGTTAAATAAAAATCAAAAATCTAAAATGTTTATAGCTACAGCAAAAACTACAACCTCGACAAATGTCATTATCTGTGAAAGTCAATTAAACGCTTCAAATAATAATGCAGGAGCTACTTCGCTACTTTTTATCCCTAGGCAAGTACATAAATCATATACAAAAATACTTACTAAAAATCAATCTGGTGAAAAAGATGTGCTTGAAACAGGATGTATGATGGACTTGGCTAATACATTACCAAATACATAGTTGAAAATAATGTATAACTTTGGTTTAATGTTTTTTTATCATAAATATAATTTAAATATCATAACAATCTTTGTATGTACAATGAACCTTAGAAAATTTATTTCATTATGCCACGTATCTCCTATCTTATCCTCTCTTCTATTTACATATCTGCACTTTTAGTCTTTTTGCTTAATATACAAATAAACTTCTAAGTTTATTTATTCCGAGTCGCTTACTACATATAGAATACCTTTTACAATAAATTGTATATAAAAAAATTTTGGGCAAAGTTATCAGACATCCTACCTAGCACAATTGTCATTATCTTGGAAATGGCATTATAACAGTAAGCATATTTATATAATATAAAATATATAAAATGTATATTTGTATATATATATTCCTTCTAAATCCTTACACTATATTTGTTATATATATGACTGTATATATTGTCGAAATAATATTTCTGTTGCTATATATCAAATACTAAAGGCGAAATCTAGGCGAATTTAAACTATTAAATTATGCTAACGATTACAGAAAACATGATACTTATAGCATATTAGACAAATTTTGTGCAGACTCTTTGCATATTCTTTTTTTTTTTTATTACCGACGATTAATATAAAAGTAGCCTAGCTCAAATAAGCCATTAACTTGGCTGTTTCGTTTTTAAGTACTGAAAGTTCATATTTAAGTCTCTTATTTTCGTGTTCTAAAAAAGCTGCCCTGATAGCAATCTCATCTTCCTTGGCTCTTCGTGCGTCCCTAGAGCGTTTTGCGGCTTCGTTATTCTTTCTTCTTCTTTCTCTATAAGCTGCATCTTTCTCATCAGCAGTGCTCGTTGGCACAGGACTTTTCGTGACTTTTCTCATCTTTGTTATCATGCCTTCGTTCGATTGTTTCATCGTTTCCAGCATTCGCTTTCGAAACTCCGAATAAGCTTCGCTGGATTCTAGATCGTACACTAATTCGGTTCCTCCTATAGTGAGCGATAATGGATCTTTTGGATAAGCCTTAAACGGTCTTGTATTTTTTGCAATATCTATAGGCAAATTGTATAACGAATTTTTGTTAGAATCTGCAATCAACGTGGTGGGGGGGCTAAAAAATTGCTTTGAATTAATAGTTTCATTATTTGGATTCAATAATGTTGACAATATAGTAGGAATGAATGGAATCGAAATGTCCATTGGCGAAGTGGAAAAACCACCATTTTGCAATGGCGCGTCCGTAAAATTGTGAGCTGGCTCGTGTTCAATTTTTTTCGATGATTCACATTCGGAAGGTGGCGTTATTATAAATTTTCGAACCTCCAAAGAACTCCTTTCAGTGTTTGAAGAACGCTCAACTTGATCTTGTTGCGTTGTGTTTGTTTCGAGTGAGTTTGAATGTAAACTGAAATTTTCTGACTCCTTCGAGATTGTTGCTTTCTTAAAAGACAAGTCTAGTATCGAGTCAGAAAATTGCATGCTAGTATCTTCGTTAGAAGTGCATTCTTTTGCTTGTACATTATCCACCACCGTTTGGAAAAAGGGATTCATTCTGCAGTTTATCATCATCTGAAACGAAAAGTTTGAATGAAAAGAAAAAAACATTTCTGTGAACGTTTTTCATGCAAATGCAAATACTTGCTTGCTATGTTTTGAAAAGTATTGCATATTTACTGGTTATCCTCCAAGCGTTTTAAAAATGAAAATAATAATAAATAGATAATGATATAAATGGATACTTTTTAACTTTCAATTCTTTCAGTTCTCCAAATATGTATCAATTATACATTACTACACGTGGCAGTCACAAAAATGAAATGTGTAGCGGCTAAATAGAGATTCACGTGCTCGAATTAATGATAACAATCGTTTGAAAACGTGGGAAACTAACGGGAAGCGAGTGTAACAAATTATATCTCGATATTTTGAGGAGTAAGAATATTACGTTAATGAAGTCAAAACATTAATTTGTAGTTAAATAACATTTGTTATTTCGACGTGTTCCAAGATAAATCAGCCAATATTTACATTATACGAAATCGAAGTGTAATTTGTCTAACGAGGAATACAGTTAATTTGACGAGAAATCGAAATATAGACAACGTGTCGTCGAATAGACATTAGTGTATCCGTTAATTACGAAAGTTTGGAATTCTTTTATGTTTATCAATTAACATGGAACATGTGTCTTACTTAATAGTTAATCCGAGGTCACGCACCGGTCACTGATGTATCACAACAATATCACTCTATCGTAGTTCCAAATCGTGCACGTTTTCTTGAAGATTTTCTCGCAGTAATTATTCGAAACTAAAATAGTTTTTTAACGAATTTCGAGAATCGATTTTTTGGTAAAATGTGTTCACACGACGGTTCTTCAAAACCGTATAGAACGAGAGGGGGTGCAGTTTCGCTTATATAGTGCCCAACCCTTGTAAGAACTTGGGGTAGGAGAGAATCCCTTAGAAAATGGTAGGGAACGACAATCCTGGTGACCACAATGCTAGGGTCTGACTGGCACGCGTTCGCCACTACCTAATCCCGAAATGTTTATAGGACGACACGTTCACATGATTACGACTACGTAATCGCGTACGTAAGAAAATGAGTTGGGTTATCTATGATCGAGTAATTGATTGTATATGTATTTTGTTGGGCTTATATAGTATATCTTGTAATAAAAGGATCTTACAAGGGAATTTTTATAGTAATTGGATTTATTAATTATTTATTCATTTTTTTTAGATTTGTTAGTTATTTCTTCATTTTGTTGTTCATGTATTAACCTATTTCCTGATTATTTCTTAGTACTTCTATTACCTCTATTATACCTTGTTATCTTTCTATTTCTTTCTATTATAAATCTTCTGTCGTTCAAAACCAATTCATACAATGAAAATCACGCATTAAATATATTTAAAAAAAGAAAAACACTTCTACATTAAAAAAAAAGAAAGTAAGGTGAGGATTAATCGAACTTTAAATACAAAAATTACATAAGTCTTCCTTCAAATAAGTAAATCTTCCTTCGTTTATTACGTCGAGTTAACCAGTATAATCGTGGAAAATACTGGACATCCTATGAAATCAAAAGTTATGTCGATATTTACGATACTTTTGTAATTAGTTACCACCCTACCTGCCGTTGCCTGTCGTTGTACACAAAATAAATTACAGCGGTAAGTATTCGGAATAGGAATGGAACCTCGTTAAATTAATCCAGGCATTGAATTAGCTCTTACCTAACAAGGATTTTGGAAACTCCAAGTACCAATTGAATCTTTTCTTTCAAATCCTGTGTGACGTCAGAGACCATATTCTGTTTCTAACAACTAGTTCGTCAAAGGGTTAAGTGTTTCGACGATCGGTAGCTGCAAGGGCGACCCTCAACTGGCAGACCTGAGGCATCTTTTCGTGTAATGCTTACCCGTACAAATAGTGTGTATAGAATTACTATGCATAACCCTTTCGTGAACCTTTCCTTGACTATTTTCCGTAATATTTCGTAGTGATTTTTGTTTCTGCTTTGTACTGCATGATTTATGATCGCTACTACTGAAAGAAAATCGCGGAATTTGCATAAAATGCTCATAAATTAACTGGTGAAAGTGTTGCGACTAAGAGAAATTTGCTCGAAATTTGTGTGTCAAAGAAAAATGAGGAAAACGTCTGTACTCGACGATGATTGTTTTTTATATGTGATGGATTTCTTTGGTCCTAGCGGCTCGTTAGGATTGGACAACATATGGCAATTTTCAGAGCGTGTCACCGGAAGATGAACCTACTCTTTTCTTCAACTCGTGTTGATTAATGGTTCAGTTTTATGGCTGACTATGTAAGTTCATTAGTTAATCGTTACTTCAATTTTCATTTGAGCCTCCCGTAGCGTTTCTTTCTTTGATGGATTCCACTGTCTCTTAGGTAGAACGGGATTCTTTGACAATAGCATCGAGAGAATCGTTGAGGAAATCTGTTGGAAATTTAATGTCTTTTAATATTTTTAATTTATACATATTGTCATAAGACTAACTGAGCTCTACTTAAGACGATGAACATAAACATTTACAGTATGTCATTGAAAATTACTTAACTTTAAAAATTACTTAAGTTTATATCATACTAAAAAGTGATTGGATTGCACAAATTATATTTCTGGCAAGAATTTATTACAAAACTATAATGATTAATTTCATTTTTTGTAAATTCATATTTAAGGCTCTACAATGCCATATGTTGAATGCCACTTGAAAGTTATTTCAATTCATTCATATTTTTTTCATTCATATTTCATATTTAACAAACCTTCATTCCTTCGATTGTCACTATATCATTTTACTCTTCTTCATTGCACTATTGTATTGCTTATTATTGTACTATCCTATCTATTGATAATAATTATTACCTTCTATCTTAATTATTAGAATAAGAAATTTCTCTAAAAATAAATAATTTACCTCCTTTATAAGAAAATGCCATAAATAATTGTAAGTTCCAAAGTAAGTTATAACATAATCATCTTTTCTTTTCGTTTTTTAATATGTAGAATAGATCAGCATGCATTGTAAGCTTGTCAATTGTTTTCGAAAAATTTCTCTGCTCTCTTTTCTTCCGAATTCCCAAGAAAATTCATAGAAATTCGAGTGTGAGAAAAATAGGGAAAAGATGATGGACAACGAAGGTGTCCAGTTATGCTCGGTAGCGTAGACGTCTCATTATGTCTTGGTCCCAAGATCACGCCAAATTTAGTCCTCCATTTCATATCCCCGTTAAAATGACGTGCCGTCCATGGAAAAGCATCCTAGCGATCAATTCACTGCACCGCCTCCTTTCTCGTATACAAATTTTTGCTCTTTTGGCCACATAACCCACATTTCTATGGTGCAGGAGCAACTGCAACCCGTTATTTGCGATATTTTCTGTAGCCATCACCCGACGACAGATGAATGGATCCCCGTATTTGCATCTGCTCCTACCGCACCGAAACGTATATAAACCCTATAACGGTATGTCGATGCAAAATTTTCGCCATGATTCGATGTGGAAAATGTCTCAATTCACCGGCATCGTTGACGTTTTTTAAATAGTCCCGCTGTGAGTAATCAGTTTTCGTGTAAGGAGAATCGAACGAACAAGGAATGAAATACAAATTTTTCAATTCATGTAGTAGATATATCGATCATCGGACAAAAACAGGTAAAAGTAAAGTGTAAAAGTAATATAAAAGGAGGGGATGATATTCCAAAGATTTCTTTTTAATAGATTTAGCTTTATTGTTTCTGTTAAATTCGGATGTAAATTATATTTATTACGGATAATATTCTATTTTGATGTTTTTACTTCTTTATGATTCTGTTCCTCTATGATATTTCCTTTCAATACTTCGTGAGCAAACGGAGCGGTCCATAAGCCACTAGTCTAACTTTCAGTCTTGAATCTTTTTTCTTCGAAGTTTTTTAAACATTTGATTTAATGAAAGATTGTATAATGGAGTACCTCAGAAGTTTCTTCAAATTTTTTGGAAGCCTCAGACAATGTAAAACTAATACTTAAATATGAATGACTCAATTTTCCTATAATTTATTTTAGTTTTATAACTTTTTACTTCAAATTCGTTCACTTAAAGCAATTACATTAATAAATTTGTGCTAATGTCTAGAATCAGTAAATTCACGGTCTACGTGAGTTTCCGCGGTTAAACGTTCTAAATCGCTCGTGGGCACATCAATTACACAATCATCAGATTATCAATAGCTATGGTCCGGTTGTTTGTATATACTAGTAGATAACACAAATAGCTAGTAGAAAGCTTCTGATAAACCAGACAATTATAATCTTTGAACACAAATTGGTATGGTTGTAACTTTCACACAGATTTTTCAGATTTATGAAGACCATGATGTTTCACAATGATAATAGTTCTTAGAATCGGATTTACGTGATGTTTTTGATTGTATTTGTTTTTCGTTGAATAATACCCAATACAATACTGTAGAAGAGGTACATATAAGTAATATATAATATTATATTACGTAGTAGAAGTAGAAGAAGTAATATTAGCAGGTAAAAGATATAGATATCCAATAAAATGCAATAAGATATTTCATATTTCATGTATATACCGCTCGTTAAAAGTGTCAAGCTTGCTAATTTTTAAGAAGGGTACAATATCGCACGAGGAACGTTCAAGATTATATTCAACCCTATGCACCTCATCGTCAACTCTATAAAACGATGCTATTTTAATAAAGTTACTAAGAATAGTCGAAAATTGTCTATAAGAGTGTACTTTCGCATGTTCTTCGAAGGATTGCATATGAAGTAAGTTCAGAATTAGACATTAAGAATCTTATCCACCGAATACAATTGTTTCGAAAGAAGCTTTTACCATAAACGTTTATATTACATATGTTATCACATATTTATGTTACATATAATGCAAATTTTATTCCTATTCAGTTTTTATTTATTCATATATGTTATATATTACTTTAAAAATTATAAAAAATTTATTAACAGATATTTCATCTTATATTTGAATCAAGATTATTATTAATTTTTTATATAAATATAGAACGAGAATATATATATAACGATTACTTTTTCGGTTTTTTTCTTTTTTGTATGGGAAATATCTCGACTTATTAAGAATCTTGAAGAAATTTACAATCCTCTCGGTAGGAGATCTCAGGGTGTGACTTCGTTCTCGAACAGACATTAGTCCTTTTAATAGTATTCGACACCAAAGCTTTTTGAGAAGAGAGATGCATGAAGATGTATGCGGTGAATGTCGTTCGCAATAATTACTTCTCAATTTATCTTGCGGTCGGACCACCGACCAAGTTTAGCCAACAGATTTTCAAGATTTGCTTGCATCCGGTCCTCGGCACGTCTCCTTCCCCCACGAGAACTCTTTTCTTTCCACGAAAGCTTTTGCATTTCGTTCTCACTGTATCACGAGACACGCCTTTGGGCAGATTCTTCTACAAGGAATTTTATTCATCGACCAAGTAGTCTCCTTTCAGAGATGGCTTCAGATGAATAGCCTTCGCTATAAACACATTACCAATACGTCTTATTTACGACAAGGGGCGCCCGAGTTTGAGCAAATGTCTGAGAAACTAGCTTGTAGGTGGAACAAAGCTTTTGTTATAGGAGGATTAAAAACAGTTCTTCTTTCTCTAATAAACTTTATCAGTCCCTCAAACTTATATCTTATTACAACATTATTTTTTACGATGTATACGGTAGTAATTTTTATAAAATATAAGTATGGAAATATCCACCGATTGCAAGATTAGTTGAGTAATAGTAAGTATAATAATAATAATAAACAAGGTATTCGAGGACAGAAACATTTACGAACAGATCGGTCGGTATCTCATTACTAAGCTGTACAATTACAAACAAAAAAGATTTGAATGTCTCTCTATTTCTAGAAAGAGAAAAGGTCAAAAAGGTTTACATGCTATTTATTTAAGAAGCCTTCGAAAAAATAATGCTGTCGTAATAATATTCGTGTATTGTTTACGCTCTTACGAAGATCATCGCTCCCCCCTTTCCCCATTCCATAAGCTTTTATAAACTAGTAACATTCTCTCCATACTTTCTCTGTCTAAGACCTGGGTTCCATCAACCTGGCAAATACTTTCCAATTTTTTAACAGAAAAGAGAATGATTAAAAAGAGATTTATCAGGACATTTCGCAAGTGACAAAAAATGCATAATTATTACTTGATAATGGTTACAACTATTGATATGGTTACAAAAATAACAAAACGGATTTCACGATATGAAACGAAGGGCTAACTATTACCAAATGCTAATAAGGAATTTTTTCTTGTATTAGAGCTAGGTAGACGCAAATTACACAATGAAACTTTGGATTACCTGCATACGATGATTTCATAACGACATCATCAAAAATATAATGATGTAATTTGTTTTTACTATATTTTTGTAGAGTTGCCTCATAACAAAGCGAAGAGAAAAACTGTAAGAATTTGAAAACTCGATTACATCGCAATGAATTAACATCGTCTAACTTTGAAAATGGTTCAAATTACCTAATAGCACCTTTACGCAGCAAAAATACACTTCTCACTACCTTCAGGGTTTTTAGTGTACGGATTAAAGTAATAACTCGTCATTTTTTATTTTTTACGACAGCTTGTTCCTTTCGAATATTTGCAGAGTAGTTTTTATTAGTTTTATATAATATAAAATTACCTATTAGGTAAGAACTGTATTTTTACGAAGTCCTTCGGTTATATTTAAGATATTTGTTGCCGATTTAGGTTTTAATTAGCTTTCCACGCATTTTTTTTTTGAGCCTGCTGTTTTCTTCACTTCTTCTTCAGGTACCTTCCTTTTGGGATAATCTACTCATAAAAAGCTTAGAGTTCACAGAAGATTGTAAAACTATATAGAATGCTAAAACTAAATATTTAAAAATTATTTATGTTTTGGGATATACGGGTCTAAAAAAAACAGCAAGCTTAACATGCTAGAAGCTCAACTAGGTCTTCGTGTTCTTTCACATTACCGAAGAACGAATCATACATGGGAAATGAATCTAGGATCCATACTGCACCATCGTCAACCCCTTCAATCGTTGACCATTGTTCAGGTTCTCATTTCATTTACTCTTCCATTCTTGTAGTATATTTCTTTCCCAATCTAATCTTATTTTATAAAAAAGTCTCATATTTATGTCCAATAATATTATCACAAATATATATTCATAATCGTGTAACGCCTACCACTTGCGTTTATCGACAAGATGAGAAAGAGTATATTTTC